CATTATAATAGCGTTGCTGGTATACAGCCTTTTCCACTAGACATCTATTTCTTTGTTAATTTTGTGTAATTATCTAACTCGGAGACAGGGGCGCTAGGGGGGCTATAGCCCCCCTAACTTTTTCATTCCGAAAATAAAAATTAAGAAATCTCGTATTGAATCGTCTTTCTAAAAAGCTCCGACGTCCCTGTCGTCGTTATTCAGCTGGCCTGGTAATAGTTTAAGCAAACTGACCAGTTTTACTTATCTTATGTGATCTCTCTTGTGGTAGGATTGATTTGAATAGATTTTTATAAACTCGTCCCCAGTCCCCTACTCGGTCAACATTCAATGCCTTCATGAGAGGATGTCCGTAGAATATGTTGTGTTCTCTCGTTGGTTTGATTGCATTCATAAGTCATGAGAGAATGTCAGTAGAATATGTTGTGTTCTATCGTTGGTTTGATTGCATTCATAAGTCATTCGCTTTGATTGGTACTTAAATGGCATGTTATATTGACGTACGSGTTAACATTAGAAGTGTTGGTTTGTCTTTAGTGACAGTCAACAGCACTACTACAGARTTTGACACTCCTAAGCACGATGAATACAGCGGCACCATTGCTACAGTCATCATGGCCTTCTACCTTCTTGTGGCAAATATTCTTCTTTTAAACCTGCTCATTGCTATTTTCAAGTAAGTAGCAGGGCTACCTGTGTAATACATCGAATTAATCGAAGTGTCCTATTTATCTATTTCTATCTTATTTTTGTGATTATTTGCTACACTTTACTTATTTTCTACAGCAATACTTTCTCGGAGATCCAAGCCAATTCAAACCAAATATGGAAGTTTCAGCGGTATGATCTYATCATGGAGTATGCGCAGAGACCAGTCCTAGTCCCTCCGCTCATTATATTGAACCAYGTGATTGAGCTGCTGTGTTGCTGTTGGAATGGACTATGCTGTTGTCGTGACAACCGACGAGATCGGAAAGTCTTGGCTGACAACAGATTGAGTAAGTCAGATCATAGACTATTAGTTTCGACACAATAGCGACTTTTAAAACAATGAATTTTATATGTTAACAAAAATACGTCTTCAACGGGAGTCAACCTCATAAAACTTCTTAATAAAAAGATAATATTAGACAACGATAGAACCGCTAAAATTAATGTGAATCTTCTCTTAATTGAATCTTAATGCTGCGAGCAAGGAAAACCGCGCAATTTTTGATTGATACGAAAGGTTACCCTATATGAGAGTTCAGATAGCTCATCAAATCACTTAGTATTCTGGAGAGAGTATCGCGGGTGTACGAAATCCCGACGGCTGAGCAGGAAGACTGAGTCTAGAGTAACCAATCAACTACTAATTATAAAATATCCAAAATGATATAAATTCTTTCGCTATGTGAATAAGCAAATTTCGGCTCCAAAAGGTTGACATCATCAAAGCTAAGCAATATTATATTAGCCTAACAGTGTTACAGTGCCTAGATGTCTGCATTGAATATCAGTTGTGTAAAAAGATAAAATTTAACAACCGTAAAAAAGTAGGTGAATCAACTTACTGACGTTTCGGACGTTAATACTTCGTCTGAGTYTTTTACACAAACGATTGTTTAGAAACATCGATGCAGCTCACACTAGTTTACCTCTAGTTTTCACCATTTTTGACTGCATTGAATATCATCGCGCGGCGAATCAACGTCTCGATACCTAACGCACTTGAACCGCTTTTTATCGTATCTATCGAATGCTCTTCAGTAGCATTCAGTGTGTTCCGAAAAGAAGGCTTTTCGCAGCAATAAAGGGAAAAAAATTGAATACTCCATTTTTGAATTCAAAGCGAATAACCGCTGTTTTATTTGACAGCAGATTCTCTTACGCAAAGACCTTACCCTGAAACACACAAGAAAGCACGAGAAAATGTTGTTAATACATAGCGCTAACAATTTACCTTTTCCCCGAGTTGAGGCAAACCCTGTCATTCCCAGAAGGYTCATACGTTAGGTCTTATGGGAATACAGGGTTAGTCTCAACTCGGGGAAAATGCAAATTTTCAAATTTTTTCGGTGTTAATTTTGAAACTGGAGCATTAAGTTGGTTGTCTCATATTTTTGCGAGTTCCACCTGAAGCTTATTGTTAGAGACCATGCCAAGAAAGATAGACTTTTCCCTAGTACTGTGAGGACTAGTATGACCTGGAAAACCTTTTCAARGTCGCCTATTGCCCCGTGACTTTCAAACAATAGACTCGTGTCCAGTCTTGCTACAGAWTCTAAGATACATCGGAATATTGACCACTCAAAAATTATGTACGATATATAAACGCCATCAATAAGTAAGATCCTGTTTTGAACTGTAATAATCGGACAGGTTTTGATGTAGGTTGCCATTCGGGCTCCAATCCCTCGCTTTCTCCAGATACCTAATATTTGGACGTGCGTAATAAGGGATATAGGAATGAGGATTTCTACATGCATTGGTATTTATAAAAAGATATATAATATATATAAATTGTTGACACTTTGAATATCTTTTACATTGGCATTTGTATATCAAGGTACTATCATCGTACTGGTCTACATCGATGGTTTTTCAACTATGCACATTTTTTCCATTTTCTCTAGAATTGTTTCTTGATAAATACGAGAAAGAAGAACTGCTAATGTTTGAGGAACACTGTCTGTACTTGTACCTCCACCACAAGGACACGCTATTTAACGCTACGTCAGAAGAAAGGGTTCGAGTCATAGGGAACAGGTACCTTCTAATATAATTAGTCAAATAACTTTAATTACTTKAAATTGAAGTAAGACTGTCATATTTTCTATTCAGAGTGGACTTTGTTGCCAGTCAACTAGATGAAATGGCCAGAGAAACATTCAACCGAGACACAAATACAAACAAAACACTTMYAGCCTTGACAGGGAAAGTAAAAACGCTGGAAAACAACACTAAGACAATCTTAAAATTGTTGACTTCTTTGCATGGACTGAACCCTGAGAGATTCGGGATAACTGACTCGGACGATGAAGATGTTAGGAGTGCCAAAGGTGAATAGATCTTTTTTATAGACATTTTGAAAATCGGCATGACACAACAGACAAAAATCGCAATTAAGCTAGCTCCATATCTGGCTTAACAATCCGAATCCCGAGAATGATGTACACTAATTCGTACAGCACATGACAAGTACWACCGTGTCCAAAAAATRATAAGCAAAGAATGAAAAGATCAGAGAGACAAACTGTTAAACCTGTTTTRCCTGCTTCATTTAGGATCAGATATTCTGAGCTACTTCGGCACAAAGCGAGCCAAACTCTCTGGTGATAGGTCACCATCTCCTGTTCGCCGAACTGCTGCCCATGCAAAGGAAGCATTTTGTACCTTACGTAGTAAGAGCGTATCGCCACCCATTGTACCAGAATCAAAACGAAGACGCCGCAGTGAAGGCTCTCCTTCAACATCACCTGTTGTACCGCTAGGAGATGTATTGCCCAGGGGTGAGTTATAGCTGATTTCTTCACTATTCCCTGCGCTATATTGAAAGGTAGCCGTGCATCGAAGTGAGATGACCGCTGAGTCTGCAGTGATAGATATGCATGTGAATAATTGTCTGTAGTTGTAAAAGTTTTCTATCATTGCGCGCTCAATGGTATTCTCCTTTCGATGTAAACACACAATTACCTTACAAGATGACGCAGGAAATCGTGAGGGAGTTGATTGCTCTGAAATAAAACTCTAACTTAACAGGGAAAAAACATACGCCATTCAATGCAATTAACCTCGCAAAGTAGAGTGCATACTTCAACTATTTAGGGAGTATGCTGTAAAATTTTCTTTGCAATTTCTCGGTTTTCAAGCTGTTGAGGCATATGTTTTATGAGCGAAGTATGTGATCTTTCTCGTTCCTAGGTCAACTAGATCTGCACCATAAATTGTGCTAAATTCCKACGCCGTGACACTTCCAATTCAAGATTACCGCAGTTCAACTCTCACACTGTTTTATACTGTTTGAAAAGAAATTCAAAATAATACACTCGTCAGCAGCCTTTTCTGAAATAGCATCTCTCTTTTTATTATGGTCTAGATTCGGTAAAAACGTCTTTGGTTCATAACGCCAATTACTGATGCTAGACCACAATGCACTATGATTTTGTATTTCAGAAAAGGATMATGGTAGCTGTGTTTACGTTATTTGCTTGATGTTTTTTACAGCAACAAGAAGTCCATCAAAATACACAGCAATTAGAAAACCCAAGAGATCRCATGACATTGATGAGGCTGACTTTRCACACAACATCAAATCGACGCGCAGTCCGTATCCCATGACAACCATAGAGCGATATTCAGTGAACGAGCAGGAATTGGACTGGGAGGTGATATCAAAAGTTTCAAGTGATTTACAAACAATTKCTCATTTAGATAGTTTTATTATCGATCGAATATTAATTGGTTTATAGATGTTAAATTTACTAAAAGTAAGGTGGTTAGCACTGAGTGTCACCCCTATAGATGAATAGTGTAGATAAACAAATAGAGATAGGGCATTAAACCCGTGAAACAAAAATTAACCATTAAGAAAGTTGTATTAGTGTAATATCTATTTCATGGGTTTGATGACTTCACTCTACACAAATACAAACACAATACAATACAATGTACTAGAAACCGTTTTAAAATCAACTCAAACGTGTAGAGTTGACAAAATAGAAACAAAACAAAACCATACATCACATACATTGTAACATCACTAGCAAATAATTTTTATTGGATGTCTCTTAGAATTTAATGCCTTGGTACAGTCCTCCATGCTATACCGCTGACGCCATCATCGCAGCATCTACCGACCCAGACCTCCATAGGTATAGATTGATTCCATATAAGGAMCTATTGTCACAACGTTTATTAGTTGTTTTTTTATTGTCTTTTTCTAGTATTTCTGCTGATGACGTCAAGATTTCGTTCAATGAATTTGATGGAAAYATCAAYAGGAAAAGCCATACTGGGCGATATGACGTCATCAATGGATTACCAAGGTAACGTCATTCGACGTTCAGATGTCATCATCGCCGTKTCCAATGAGGATGTTTCCTCAAATGAATCGATTGAAGAGAGAAAGTAAAATATACAGAGATAGATTACTRTGTAAAACTATGCACAATTTCCTTCGCCGTCCTTTCGACAAATAATCTCTTCGCTCGTTGCCTCCTTCATATCACGTGATGGTACAATTTGGGGATTGGTTGATTTCTTTCTAATACTTTAGATAAAAATAACAAGTCTGAGGGAAATTTCATSTGGTCCAAACTTGGCAATTAGCATAAAAGGTAATTCTACTATTGTTCACAGGAATCCTGCTGGACGAACGGGTCTTGTTGGCCGTGGGCTACTTGAGYACTGGGGACCAAATCGTATCGCTTGGYACATAATAACACGGTAAAGAAATATACTTAAACAACAGTAGCTACTTTGAACGACCATTTAATGTATGATATCATTAGCTTAGTTAAATCATGACTTTTAGYCTCCGTCATTCGGTACTTGTCGCGGCAAATATCAAAACATTTTGACAACGCGTTTTTGTTTCAAGATGGCGCAAAAAGGAYGACGGAGACATTGAGTCACGTGGCAAACGTAAAGTCCTGGAGTTCATGGCGTGGAAGACTGGGACGAACCAGAAATGGTCATTACCAGAAGAGAAACAAGTAAATGTTCCAGAAAAGAGTRACGTAGAGGTACGTGTTCAATACTGTTTTTTTTGTGGCTTCTAGCATAGGAACTGCATCAGTACACTTAGTTTTCATGGATCTGACCATCGTACATTTGGCCGTTTTGTCGTTCGTAGTAAAAAATAGCAGAATACTAAAGATATATGAAAATTATCTAAATCGTTATTAGGGGGATCATTTGGTCTTTTTAACTTCACGCAACCGAACACTATTATAGTGGCCAGCAATATATCTTTAATACTATATCACAGGGCGTTGTCCTTGAAGTGGTCTCCGATTCTTTCAAGAAACAGTTTATTGATAATATAACATTGGCCATGTCGGACAGCTTAAAAGAAGAAAGATACCACAAAGAAAAACTGATAAGAGAACAATTATTTCAACAAGGAAACGAGGTAAAACATATGTCGTTAATAGAGAGTTTTAGCATCACGTTGACGGCAAACGGCTAACGGCAGAGCTGAACCAATGACCTAAGAATTTCGTGCCCGACMTTGTGCTTTTGGTAGYCATTGGAAAGAGCAAGTTTTCAACCCGCTCTTGCGTTGAAACTGCAACGTTAAACTCAAAAAAGCAGGTCACGTGATCTTTTCTGCCGTTNTGATCTCCCCAAATATAATATTATCACTTGCGTAGATTCTCGGGTGCTGATTGGCTGATTAGGTTATGTCAATAGTTTAGAAAAGATACAATCCCATCTAGCACGCACTCTCAGCAGAATGACTTTCACTCATTCCTAAGAATATGGTAATACCAAACGAGTAACGCCATGGATGCATGTTGATTGACGGTCAACAAAAGCTTGTTTTTCTGTTTGAATTATTTGAGTGATTCTGCACGTGTCCTTGACTAGCGCTGTGTTCAAAACTCTTCAGTGAGCCCCTGAACTTTGGGCACAATTATAATCTGGTCATGCGCCAAAGGCGATCGAGTTTTGCTATTTACTATGTTAAATGTTATGATGTCACTTTCACAGATCTCTGGAATGTGACGTCACTGAGATAGATTGTGAATTTTCTAAGACGTTTGCCCAGATACATCAAACCTATACAGCGGTACAATATCTTTAATMATGTTATTTCTTAATCAGGAAACGAATGACGCCTACAGTATGGCCTGGTTCATGGTCAGCGGTCATATTGATCTRCCGGAAAATCACGTAACAATGTTAGGCAAGGTTGCCAGGATACACAAATCGTACTTCTAAGATAGAAATCATTTGAAAAATATTGAAAAACAACTATGGATAAACCACAAATACAAATATATTTATGTCTGGTGTTTCAAAATAAAGATTGTTGTGCAAGTTCCGATTCGTTTTGCATACCTCATGCGACGCACTAGCATATGTTATAACAGTGAATCTAAATACACAGATAAAAACATGCACATAAAATCTACTAAAACATCAATTAAACAACACAGTGCAAAGGGTTTAGTGCTGAAAATAGTATACACTTACTAGCAACATTGACAACACTCAGCAACACACACTTAGCAACACTTAGAAACATTACACACTTAGCAACCCTGACAATACTTAGAACAGTGTACACTCAGCAACACT